GCTCAGTTCTTCTTCTTCTACATTTTTGGCGTCACTGATCTCCTTCTCGTGAGTGTCATGGCCCTGGATCGCTGTGTAGCGATTTGTAATCCTCTTCATTATGCCTCAGTGATGAACCAAAAGGTTTGTGGGCATTTAGTGGCTGGGTGTTGTATCGTTTCTATCTTACACTCCATGCTGCATGCCGGCCTGCTCCTGCATCTCAGTTATCGAGGGAAAAATCACCTGGCCCATTACTTTTGCGACCATCAGCCCTTGCTGCAGCTGTCCTGCTCAGAGACCCGTGTCAACGAGGCAGTCATCTTCTTTGAAGGTGTCATTATCATCCTTGGACCTTTCGTCTTCATCATCCTCACCTACATTCGTATTGTAGTAGCTATAATGAAGTTCACTTCTTCTGGGAGACGCAAAGCTTTCTCTACCTGTGGGTCTCACCTGACTATAGTGGGCCTCTTTTATGGGGCCATTATTGCTGTTTATTTCTTGCCCACCTCCAGCTATTCCTCTCAGAGAGGTTCAGTTTTTGCTCTGGTGTACACAGTCATCACCCCAATGTCCAACCCTTATATCTATAGTCTCAGGAATAAAGAAGTGAAAGATGCTCTGAGAAATCTCTTGAGAAGATCCCTATTTTCTCAAAACTGACTGTGAACTTGGCTCTACCATATAGCTGCCTTCTAGCTGGCTTGAGGTGCCCATGTTGATGGAACATATTCTTGATATACAAATGACGTTGGATTTAATACTGGGCATCTCTTGGCAAACATAGTGCAGTTGAGTAATCATAAAGTGTGGCCTTAGTACTGGGTCCTTTTAATGAGGGGGAGATTAATAGGGTAACATATCTAGGCTTCATACTGGAAGGAATGGGAGGCACTCAGTGTGGGATTCAAATATGTGAGGAGCACCCGGAGGCTCCAGCTAGTCCAAAATGCGGCCGCACGGGCGGTGTTGGGAGGGACTCGTCGCTCCCATATAACACCGCTGCTGCGCGAGCTGCATTGGCTGCCTGTGGCCTTCCGGGTGCGCTTCAAGGTGTTGACCATCATCTTTAAAGCGCTCCATGGCATCGGACCCGGATACCTTCGAGACCGCCTCCTGCCGCAGATTACCTCCCATCGACCTGTACGCTCCCACAGAG